TGTGCTCACGGCGGGCTGAAGCGGCGGCGGCGGCCCGAGCCTACTCCGGGTTTTTTTTCCTATTTTGATTGACGGTGCGGGAAAGCCGAAAGGTGGGGCTTGCCGCGGGAGAGGGGGCCCGGCCGACACCGCCGCCCGCCCGCCCGCCTGCCAGCCCGGAACTCCCGCCCACGCCCGCGCGCGCGCGCTCTCATTGGCTGCGCCGCGCCGCCGCCGCCGCTCGCACGGGCCGCCCGGGCTGCCAGTCACCCGCCGGGGGCGGGGGGGGCGCCCCATGCCGGGGCGGCTTCCTGTTTGCCAGGGCTAGTGCGGGGAACAATGAGCGGGACCCGCCGGGAGCCCGCGGCCCGCGCCGGCCCGGGACCCGCCGCCGCGCTCCCCTGACACCGCGGGACCCGCCCGCCCGCAGGGGTTAGCGCACAGGCACAGCTGCGCGGCGGTGGCGCTATCCCTCCAGCCCCCACCCCCGCGCCCCCGCTGCTGTTGTGCCCGGGGGGCGCCGGGCCAGGGCTGCGATCTTTCGAAGTCTCCCCGCCGGGGCTGTCACTCACGGCCGGCGACAGCCGCGGCTCCCGGGCGGCGGCCGAGCAGCGCCTGGCCGACAAGCAGCGCCGCCGCGCTTTGTCCCTCCGGCGCTAAGATGTCGGCGCGCGGTCCCCAGGGGAGCCGGTCCGCCCGGGCGGGCGCTGCCCGGAGGCTGCCGCCGGCCGCCCCCCTGCGGCACCGGGCGCCCGGGTCAGCGCCGGCCGCAGCCCGGGAGCAGCGCACGCTTCAGCGGGCCGACCCCGCCGTGCCGCCGTTGCATAAGCGCCGTGGCGGGCTCGCACCTGCCTGACCCGGGCGGCGGAACCTAAAACCTCCACTGTCTCTAAGGCAGAACAAAACTCGTCCAGGATAAGGCCGCGAGTTAGGTTTCAGCGCGACACGTTCTCCCAGCGGGAGTACCTGACCTGAGCTGGGCACCCGGGCCTTGGCACGGATCGAGCATTTGTGCTAGCAGGCTTAATTTTCATCGTGTTAAGGAGAATTAGTAAGATTCCCCTCAACGTCAATTTGCTGGTCTGTCGTGTTACGCAACACAAAGGAAACTGGGAGCTCTCAGATTGTTAAACTAAGGCAGGAAATATGTATAAAACGTTACATAAGTATATGATGATACAGGAATGATTATTAGTGGGGCCTGTTTCTCTGTAACACCACTTAGCTTGTGATGGGTTCCTGCAAAGGGGAACAATTTGGGCTTGGCCTTCCGTCACATCTGAGTGCATGTGCAGGGTCATAGGACAGTGTGTAGGTTGAGGCACTGATTTTGACTCTTAGCTTGCAAACTCTCCCAAAGAATGACTTTTTTATGGTTACCTTTAGTGTGGTGTTCCACACTAATCTGAATGAGGCAAAAAAACTTCAAACCTACTTTCCAGTTACGGTCTTTAGTGTAATTAGAGCTGAGAATTAACTAGGAGATACTGTGAGCACAGTCTCAGTTGGGCTGAGTATGTGGAGTCCCAGGCTCCTGATTTAAACTCATGGCAAAATCAGTAACCAGGAAACCCAGAAGTATGGTCAGGATTTTCAACAGGCTTTCTGAGAAGAGAATAAGCCGTGCTTTTTAAGCAGTCCCAGCACTATGACCTTGCAGTAACTGCTCATGCTTAACTTAGAAACTATTACAGAATAGGAAAAAATGCACTCAGAAAATGGGAATTTAATATCAGGAAGTTATGATGGACAAAGGTTGCAGTTTCACTGTCAGTGGAAGATTGTTTTTACTTGTGATGTTTAGTGTTATTTCTAACCAATTTACTTTTGCCGGTATGCTGAGAGTACCTTCAGGAGTCTTAGTTGTAAGTTGTAAATCTTTTTGTCACAATTCATTTTTTCCAAGGTAGTTTAAAAAAACCCCAACCAAAAGCTTCTTCTGTTTGTTAAATGTCTGTATTGGTTTACATAGTCTCTTGTAATTAATTCTACTTTAGAATCTATTGTTGGCACGGTAGATAACACAGACATAAAGAAGGTTTTTTTGCAATTCGTATTTTTTATTTTAATAGTCAAAAGTTGTAACTAGGAACAGAAGTCAGTTTTTTTTAAATGGTGTCAGAAATAGTTTTTACCCAGTGAAAGCTATTATACATGGCCTTTAAAAATGCATCAATATACATACATAAGGACATTTCAGGGAAAAAAATGAAAATGCAAAATTACCTGAGTATTGCAGCATTTTAAAAAAAGACTTCTACAGCTAGTATAGAACTGGGAGTTTGTTTGGCAGTATCAGAAGTTGCCAGTGAAACTTATGAGAGTCTGTCATCCTGGAACAAGAACTATTAGTGATTACTTTAGACTTTCAGTAACTGAGTTGTTCATTCAAAGACTGATGCCATAAGAGAAATAATTCCTGTTAAGATGCTGTGACCGGGAAAATTACATTGAAAAACTGGCCCTTGCTGTTTAGCAGGGTATTGCCAAATATTGTCAATAGCATTTTGCTTTAGGAAGATCATGTTGTCTTTATCTAAATATGAAAGCTATTCTTTTACAGCTGGGTGGGTGCATGTTGAGAGCTGTCTGACTTAAGGGGGATGTTGTCAATAGAGTAGTTTACCTACATGGATCTGATTGCAGCCTTGGGACATAACTGCAGTGCTCTAAGACACAAAGATTTGAAATACCAATAATGGGATTGAGTTTTATATATAAAGAGTTTTTCAATGCAATAAAACTCAGATGTAATCAAGCTTAACACTAGCAGAGGACCACCTTTTTCTAGTCAAGTATCTAAAATTGGGGGGGGACACTGATATATTATGATATATTACATTTAGATAAAGAACTCAATAAGAATATTAATAGACTAGTCAAAAAGGAGACAAAAATCAAGATAAATTACAAGAAAGTTGCAAAAAAAGATATGTTCATATGAAAAAGAGGTGTAAAGAGTCTCAGGATTGTTAAATAGAAAGTGATTGGTAATAGAAATCACATGTATCTATTTACCACTTCCCAGCAGAGATTAAGAACACATGAGAAAAAAAAAAAAAGAAAATGAGAAATACGTTATTGTAATTTTTTTTTGCTTGTCAACATATTAGCATTAAGACACTCATTAGAAAAATTGTGGTTATATGAGGGAGATACTGTATCAGAACTGGACATCTGAGTTCCTGTAGGTGCTGGTTTTCCTGCGGAGTGACCACTGTGGCAATATCCCCAGAGACTGAGCTCCATGCCCAGCTAGAGGAGCCATTGTTTTCTCTTTTTGAGCTTGCCCACCAGATGTACCACATCCATATGTGATCTGAATAAACTAACCATGACCAGTTTATTCTTAAAGAGCCTTGTCTCTTTAAGACCTTGTCTCCTGCTTCTAGGCAGTTCCTGGTTAACTGCAGGTCCTGGGATGAATTCTCAATCAGTTAGCTGAAAACGGTGTGCTGTAATTTGAGCTGTGTAGATACAGAGAAAGTAGTACTGTTCTAAAAATAATAAGAATACCTCTACCACATACCAAAATGCAGCAGTCTCAAAACTGAGATGCAGCCTTTGGGGTAAGTAGCAAAGTAATATGGAAGAGGAAGCAATGTCTACTACATTCTGATGAAACTTGAGAGAAGGTTTTGACAGATGAGACAAGATGCAACTTGGAAAGAACACTAAAATTTAATACCTAGCCTGTATTTCAGTTGTCAGCTCAATGCTGCATTTGTCCACTGTAACTTACATCTCATATCTCATTGGTTTTAGTCTTGGAGCTCAGTGTCAGTTCAGTACAAATTCAGAAGGAAGTGCACTGTCTTAACACAACATCCAGCACAGTATCTGCTCTACTTGGAAATAGCTTTTCTGTCTCTATAGTCCTTTGAAATTTCTGAGCTATGACATGTTACTTCTGTCTTTAGTGGTCCCTGATATGGGTAACCCTGCATTTCTTTAAAGGAATATATTATTGAAGGCTTGTTGTTATGTGGTACAGTTCAGTTTTCATAGCTGTGGTACTCCATTTCTCTGTCAAGTGGTGATTTTGCCATTCTGAAGCCTAGAATGCAACTAGACAAGACGGACAGGAATGCATTCTGCCATGACAGAATGTAACACTAGGAAAACTCAGGCTCAGGCCACTTCAGTTTGAAAGGCTAGGTCTGAAATGCCTGTGAAGAATCAGTAGGGATTCCATTCAACAGCCTACCTTAAAATGTGTCCTTTACTGGAGGGACAATAAGCAGGATTATCTGTAAATCTCATACCTCAGAAAATAACTAGAATACCAAAAAACCTAACCATTCAGGAGCTGTGTCTTTTTGAATTTGAGATACCTTCTTCTCTTCTAATAATCTGTTTAAAATTTCAGTAGAATCTGGAAACGTGTGTTTTCTAACTGCTAAACATTTACATGGTGCTATAAAACCCAAGATAATGACAAGGTTTTGAATCAGATCTCTTAAACGTCATAGAATTCAACTTCATTCTAGATTTCAGCCTGCTTTTGCAATTTGTTTAAGTCTTAGCAGACAAGAACAAGAGGGTAGCTAGCAGTCCTGGATACGGCAGTCTTAATTTCTACATCCCATATGGGTCCATTTGCTTAAGAATATTGGGTCATCTTGACACAGGGCCACAGGCAGGACTGACAGGAAGTTGACCTGTGAGGTCTCGTGAGTCAGCACATAGTAGTTGAGATGGTTGAATACCTCGAGTTCATCAAATGGAGAAATGAACTCTTGCCTGGTATAAAATCAGCAGTGGTTAGAGAAGAGTCTTGGCTGGCATTGTGTCATCATCCTCCAGAAGGCACCTGCATGTTCTTCTGGCCACAAGAACACAAATTTTGCCGGGGGGAAGCAGGCTTTAGCGGTGGGTGTGGTCTACCCAGAACCTAAGCAAACCTAACAGCTCATGGACGTCACCATAAGAAAATAAATC